TCATAAAATGGGTGGAGACCCCCCCCAGAGTTCAACATAAAGATACACCCTTCCCCAGGGTAGATTGCCAGCCCACTATAGAGCATACTATGAACACCTGAGTAACACAAATTTACCCAACCACGTGATTTTGCACGCAGACACCGCGCAAGTTCCAAACGTGGAGTCACGGGGCTGCAGCAGTGCCCACTAAAACACCACAAAACATTCCTAGAGATAAAGGATTACCACCAGGAAACAACTTCTCACATAAAAAGCCCAGATTTCTTAATGTTAAATACACAATTTATTGTGTATAATTTAATTTATTCACTGAATAACAGAATGTTAAAAATCATTACACGTCAAAATTTGCCCATACAGACAATGTAGGCTGCTTTTAATCTACTCAATATATTATAATTGATGGTATTTACTATTGTCCGTCTCAGTGAGTTATATTCGCTAATCTCGTCCTTTTTCAAACAGCACGTAGCACCACGGCCGGTCGATTGGGTGCCGTGTAAATAATCGCGCCGCGTCCTGTTTCCTTCGCCCTCCCTCCGCTTCTTGTGCAAGGTGCTGCAAGCAGCCTGCGAGTTTGCACACGGTTCCCAGTCACAAGGCTTCAAATATCGCCGTTTGCTCCCTTCACACGTTAAAGCACCCCAACGGAAGATGCCGAAGATCAGCTGAAATTAATAATTCATTCGTAGAAAAAGAATAGGCATCGACAAAAAGTATTCTTATTTGCGGCTTTATAACAATAAAAAAAACAGAAAAGTTCATTGACAAAAACAAGATTAGTATTTCATTGAAATATAGGATCGTTAAGTTCATCACAACAGTTTATTATCATTTTTAACAACTGCACAGCAGTTTTAAAAGTACTTTTAACTTTTAGAGATGTTCAGGAAAGATCCAGAAAAATCTCACTTGGTTTCCGAGAAAGAAGCTAATATGTACACCATCTCTATGGGAAGGTAAAGCTTTATCTTTTATTTTGAGTGGTTCTTCTTTTGCTTCTTATTGCAAAAGCGCTTGCCTTATATTCCTAAATAACTGAATAATACTGAATTGTGAGCAATAATGAATAGCAGCAATTGAATAGGCCTAATTGCAGAAACGGGAACCTCTAGAATTACATAACTGTCTCCTCTGTTACCCTATTCAAAATTCTGTATATAACGAAATATTTGGTGATGTTTCATTGCACTGCACCCCTAGCATTGACGTTAAGCTGTTGTCATGCATAACTGTTACGTCATATATCTAACCATTATATTACTTAAACGTTTCACATCGTATAAATGATCTGTTTTTCTTTAAAGGATTTCTTTATTCAAGCCTTTGTATAAAGGGCTTTGCAGCATCTTTTGCCAGAAGTATTGCACAATATTGATTCCTTACACACGGATCTCTTTTGGCAGTGTGCAAAGTTGTAATACTTTTACGGTGGTGCAGACGCAGTTAACTTTCCACTGACTAAAAGGAATCGTTATAATTTTATACATTTCATATTTTTCTTATTATAACTGACACTTGGTACATTAGAGGAGACATCACATCTATATCAGAGAAGGAATTCTGATGGTGTTAATATCTGGAGACCGCCGGAATCAACGGCATTAATTTTCTTAAAGTAAGCCCAATGGTGATCAGTCTTTCAGTTTTTCTTAGTTCATAAACTTAGACTAACGTTCAGTTAATATAATGTAATTAGATTGTTCTCGTTTGTGCGACTGTCAATGATTGAAGCAATCATCTTTTAATCACTGCTACTATTTAAAAACGCTGAAGAGTTTTTCAGTCACTGATTAAGTGTTACCATATTAACAGTTGGATAATCTAATTATTGGGTTGCGCAGGTTATTTTAAAAATATGCAGAAAATGTTTTTCTTTATTTTTACGTTTTATATACGCTCACATGCCCTGCACATTAAAGCAGATATCCCTTGTGGAATCACATGATTCATGCAGTGTTCAGAAAGCGTTAAAAATAAGCCAAAATAAATAATATACCATGGCAAGGACTCATTCATTTGCCTTCAGCCAAAAATGTGTCACATGGTACACATCTTGTGGCTAAAATATGAATGATCCTTTACACTAAAATCTTATTCTCAGTCTTGCGGTGGGGGGTTGGGCTACTGTGTTAATTTTGGGCACCAAAAACATTTTTACTCAATTTCCAGCAGCATTTTCTATGGATGGTCCGTAACCAAGGTAGATGCACATTATAGATGCCCTGCTATAGTGCCTGCAGGGAACCTTTGACTTGCATTGAGAGATTATACTTTATTTACCATTGTTCAAGCACAAGTATAGAGGAATGTAGTTTTCACATATTCCACTTTGCTCTCCTATGTAACAGACACACACAGCTTAAAGCCCTTAAACTAGGGCCCAACTGTGATATGATTAATCTGTCACCCATGGGATTTGAAACAACAACCTTCTGGGCAGAGGCGCAAACTCCTAACCTGCAAAGTCACACGCTACGCTGTTCCTTTGCTTCTCCAGGATGGTCCTGTCTGAACTGGGATATAAAAATGCTATCCATGGCAGGGACATGAGAGCGCACCATCAAATGCCCTCACAGTGCCAGTCTTGCCAGTCTAGGATGCAAGGCTGGGGTCACCCATTACAGTTTGTATACACATATATTACATAGAATTTAGAGATGCCAGTTAGTCTAACCGCATGTCTTTGGACTATGGGAGGGAACTGGAGTTGCCAGATGAATCTCACATGACAGAAAGAACAGGCACAAACCTAGTAAGTGATTTACATTCCTTGTTTTGTTTCGGCAAACTCAAAAAAAAATTAATCCACTTAACATTTAACATTTCTGGAGAAATTCTGATTACCCAACCTGAGAAATTCTGTGGAAATTTTTGAACCCACCTTGGACATCGTTGGGCTGGAGAAAGAGAATTTACCCCTTGACCAATAAAGTTTGTCTTATCTTAAAAGGGGTGTCCCTTAGAGATCATCTCCCAGCGGGTGCCCTACAATGGCTGGCTGTCAGGTCTAGGAAGTACCCTGCTTTACAGATTAAGATTCCAGGGACTGGGTCTGGATCACTGTAATGCTAGTAAGAATTTACTGAAGATGGATGGATTGTTGGGTAGACAAACACTTCATGAACACTGTGAGGAAAATGTTCTGAGGAACCCAGACCTGTGATCTCCTCAAAGCTTTCTCTTTCTTTCAAGTTCTTTTATCGCCATTTCCTGTTCTTACACTTCCTGTCTCTCCTTCTCTCCTTTCCTCCTTAGTGTGCCAAATGAGGAGACACGGCAGAAGGACAGTACCATCAACCACTGCCATGACAACAGCCGTGCACTCGAGGACAGAGAACGAGAGAAGCGGCAGGCTAGAAGGAGGCTGTACCTGGTATCCATCATCTGCCTGCTCTTCATGGTCGGCGAAATCCTGGGTAGGAATCTGCCGGCATCGTTATTCTTGCCTCTTTCTTGCCAAACCTACTCCTTTCTTGCTGAGGCTTGGTCGCCTCTTCCTTGCGTTCCTCCAGGTGGCTACTTCGCTGGTAGTCTGGCAGTGATGACAGACGCGGCCCACTTGATGGTGGACTTCACAAGCTTCCTCATCAGCCTGTGTTCCCTGTGGCTCTCCTCCAGACCCCCCACCCGGGCGTTAAGCTTTGGCTGGCACCGAGCAGGCAAGACTACCTGCCAATATGCTAATTCAGGCTCTTATTTCTAAACAGCATGTGACATCGTCCCCATATTAATTCCTCTTCTGAATAACTAGTGCTTCTACCATCGAAACTGTCAAATCTTGTACGTCTGATCATGTTTCCCGATGGTGTGCCTCCCTTGTGTCTGCCCGCTTCAGAAATCCTCGGCGCTCTGCTGTCAGTGTTCACTATTTGGCTGGTGACGGGGGTACTGGTGTATCTGGCGGTCCGGCGGCTCATCGACGACGACTACACGATCGAGGGCACCGTCATGCTGATCACTTCCAGCTGTGCTGTCATCGCTAACATCATGTGAGTCTCCCGCTTCATGGCTAATTATGCGTAGCTACAATAGAAGCTGGGAGATTTAACCCTGTTGGTTTAGCTCAATTTGATCAGTGTGACGTTGATGTTTTATTTATCTTTCTCACGTTTTTCGCCCAAATTTAGTTCTTTTTTCTTCCGATCTGGGCTCTGTCCCCCTGTCTGTAATACCTCAAACCACAGTCTGAGCTTTGGTATACTCTTAAAGAACCGCCATACTGTTTAGGACCACACATGGATGCCGGATACCGGTCTACAGTTTCTGTCCAAATCTCCCATGATCCCTTAGTTGTCAAAACACAGTAACGCAGTGTTGCCCAATCCGGATGTGGGGACCCACAGGCAATCCATGTTCTTGCTCCCTACTGGGAGTTGGGAGGGAGCAAAAATGTGGACTGTCTGGCAGGGAGCTGGGAGGGAGCAAAAATGTGGACTGGCTGTGGGTCCCCAAGGACCGGATTGAGAAACATTGCAGTAACGGGTTACTAAGGGCACCCAGGGTGGCAGAGTGGGTAAGTGACAGCGGGTCCCAGGCCTCATCGCTGTGTCTCTTGTGCAGAATGGCCTTCACCCTGCACCAGTCTGGACACGGGCACAGTCACGGAGGCGGCGGCTCCCACGGGCATGCACACGGAAAATCTGGCACGGGGGGGCAGCCACAGGCAAACGCCAGCGTGCGGGCGGCCTTCGTGCACGTGGTGGGGGACCTGCTACAGAGCATCAGCGTACTGATCAGCGCCATCATCATCTTCTTCAAGGTTGGGGGGGTCAAGGCTGACAGCTGGTGTAGGGGGCTGGTTGGGGGGGGGGGGCATTAGGTGGTGGCCACCTGTTAGTCTGCCGTGCATGCTTTTCCCTCGGGTGTCCTGCCATGCTCAACATCCTTTCTAAAAAAACAAAGGCTGACATCCAAAGACTCTCATTTTGGAAATTGTGTTCGGCGTCACGTAGCCCAGCAGAAACACTTTCAACATCAGCACTGCTGCCCAGACTGTAGACAAATTAACGTTTTGCTAATTCGTTAGCTCTTCGGCCCCCAACCTTTAAATCACAGTGATGGTATTTGACAAACGGTTTGCCTGTTTTCTGTGTCTGTATGGGGGACAGAGTGTTCCTCATTCTAAAACATATCATTTTTCATCACTATTCAGTGAAAATAAAAAGTAAATCCGATAATGAATGCTTTGTGTTCTGCAGCCGGAGTACAAGATGGCCGACCCCATCTGCACATTCCTCTTCTCCATTTTCGTCCTGGGCACCACCATCACCATTATGAGAGACATCCTGGTGGTTCTCATGGAAGGTAAAGTCTGCTGCTTTGTTCTTTGAATTCATAAATCGAAAAATATTATTACAATTACGTGTCCCATATCCCTGACCTGGATGGAAGATGGATAGATGGAAAATAATATACATTTATCAAAATATCAACATGGTGAACAGGTGTTTTTTGTTGAATAATCCACTAAACAAATTTGAGGGTGGGACCCCAGTCCATTCTAGGCCTTCTTTAGGTCACCAGGTGCTTGATGATTGGACTCGGACCTGTAATATGCTATAGCAGTGTTCTAGCTGCCAGTTCTGATGAAAGAATCCCTAGACCGTATGAATGATGCAGGTAAATTCCACCCCACCTGATTCCCCACTTCTGTTGGGTTGTTTAGGTGCTCCAGGTGGAGTGAAGTACAGTGAGATCCGGGACAAGATCCTGTCTGTGAAGGGAGTGGCAGCGCTGCACGACCTGCACCTCTGGGGCCTCACCATGAACCAAGCTGTCCTGTCCGCTCATGTGGCTTTAGGTAAAGGTGACGGGTCTGACTGGGATTTCACACAATCGAGCGATCAGTCATAGAAGCAGGTCTGACTATAGTCTAGTTGTGCTAGAAGGTGTGTGGTGAGTGTTTGGAGTATAATGTGTGGACATATCTGGCACTCCACTAGGGGTGGGTGGTGTGTCAGTAGGCATTTGGTTGATAGACTGATCTTTGCTTGCCCCCCCCTGCAGAGGACATGGTGGAGCCACAGCCGGTGCTCAAGGAGATCAATCAGGTTTGCTTCACTACCTACAGCTTCCACTCAGTCACCATTCAGCTGGAGAAACAGTCTGACCAGAGGCAGGGGTGTGGCCTGTGTCTGGACCCCAAGCAGTAGCCCCGCCCTAACGGAGGGACGCTCCCGCTGACCCTGGCAGCAAGGCGGAGCTGGCGGGCAGAGGAACTGCCAATCACTACTGGGGCATCCTGGGATTCTATAGGATTCCCCTCAATAAACAGCTGTACGTAGTTTGTTGCCTGGGGGCCGGATTTAGCATAGAGAGTCAGCTCCTCATATCCCTTTGCACAGTACCCCCCAGCTCTGAAAGCAACATACAGACAAACTCAAGCCGTACTATTATGACTGGAGTTTATCTTTATGTAGGTAACACTTTACTTGAGGAAACACAAATACTTAGTAGTAACTCAGTTAACTCAGTACAAAGCATGAACAAATCATGAACAAACATAGTTGCTACTTAAGATGAAAGATGTGTTATGATTCATTAATGATTAACAAACATGAGATCAGTATTTCACTTGTGTCATTCATTACTTGTTTCTTCAGTAGTTCCTTAAGTAGATTTACATAATAAACAGATATAGTAACAAATATAGTACTTGACATAAAAGATGTGTCATGATTCATTAATGATGAACAAATATGAGCTCAGTTTGTAACACTTAATTTGTGGTTAATTATTACATAGATAGTAGCGTAATACTACATTGTTTTGTGTCCCCTCAAGTAAAGTGTAACTTTAATGTATTATATTATTTTTTCTCACAGCATTTTAATGAGAAAACGGGCCAGATATTTTTCAAAAGAAATCGATTTAGTTTGTATTTAGTTTGCTGCTGGAACAGACAATGACACAGACACTAGCTGCCTCACGCCTCCAGGGCTCCCACATACGCTGTGTTTGTATGAAGGTTGCTAATTTTGTCACACAGGTTCCCTCATGCAGTCCAAAGACATGTGGTTAGGCTAACTAGCATCTGTGTGATTATGCGTGTGTGTGTCTGTGCATGTATGTGCCATGAAACGGGCTGGCATCCCATCCAGAGCTCACCCCAGCCTTGCGCCCTATATAAACAAACAACTGTCATTCTCCAAAGCAGTTATTTGTGCAATGTTTTAATGAGGAAAACAGTGCAATTGGCCACTGTTAAACCATTAAGTCACAAAGTGGCTGTACTGTTTTTTTAACTGTACTTCATGTTTGTAATATTTCTTAGCGGGGTAAATAAAATGGCGTGGTTTTTTTTGCTATGACAGTCTGAGAATGCACATTGCTCACCAGCAGGCAGGCAATGTCAATGGTCTGTCTCAGTAACTTCCCACCGCCCCCATTCCACTGGGGGGGGGTAGGGTGGCAGATAAGTACAATTGTGTAGTGTGCTTCTTTTTGCCCCATGAAATGTGTCAAGGTGCTCAGGAATTATTACTGTATTACATTTTGAGACTGACTTTTTCTCGATGCCTCTATTTAAATTGTATTTTAATTCATACTTTATTGGAATAACTAGCAACAACTCCACAGAATCTGCACACATGCTTTTCCTGTGAGAAACAGACCCTAATCTCTTAAGGGTAACGCTAGCCTGGCATATAAACCGAATTATGCATGAGTCAGGCAAAAACTTGATATTTGTATGTCTGGGATATTCTAACCCAGGCATATTCCTCTTTCCGTGTGTCGTGCACTTCTCTTATATTGTGTTTCAGAATTAAAGCCAATGTAAAGCTATATACCACTACTACAAATGCTGTGCAGGACACTGAAATTAGTTACAGCCCCTAATCCTGCTACCTCTCTACTTGCAGTTAGCGTTGTCATGATTCTCAGCTGCAGGCAAATAGCTGAGACTTCTTGTTCGGCTCTCGGCCCGTTTTATCTGCTCTCTGCGCCGATGTGCATATGAACAAATAGCCCGAGCGCGTCCGGCGCTCCGCATCGCTAAGTCTGCTTAGGGAAATACCTGAGGAATGTGCTGTGCACTGGGTAAGGGCGCCTTTTCCCTGACCCGCAAAGAAGATAAGTCCCGTTTTAATTAAAGCATCGGATCACTGGATACTGCAGATAATCCGAGTTACTGTGATATCCCCAGAAGAGGCATTATGGAGTTCACATTTCCTAAGATGTGCACTCCGTCCTGCCGATCCCCCATAATGTACAGCGGCTTTAGCAGGTGCTCAGAAGCTATGGCTGGATATCGTTTCCTGAGACGTGCTTTCCAAAGAGTCAAATATCTAGCAAATGGTGTATTAATTAATGGGTAAGGCACTGTCCTGATTTTAAGACGAAATGCATGACATTTCTTGTTTTTTTCCCCCTAAACTCGGTGGTAATCAGATGATGTGTTATATGACATACACGTTATCTCCAAATTTAGCATGTAACAGATGGAGAGGTCATCATGAAACTGCCGGGTGCTCTAATAGTCACGGTTCGTTTGGTGGGAAACAAGCTAATACTCTTTTGGAGTCTGTCTTAAGGTAATTTCACACTAAAGGGTTTGAACAGTTGCCAGGTATTATATACCATGTGGGACAGGGCGCCATAACCAAAGTCCCAGACTCAGACTGGTGCGAAATTATTGCGCGACTACAATGCAAATGCAGCAGCAAGACACAAAACTGAAACCCACCTTGCCTTAATATATCTCTTTACATTTTATAGCAAAATATAATATCTACTTCAAACAACACTTGATTTCGAATACTTAGGGAAAACTAAAATTAGGGGAAACTGTTGAAACATATATTATATATTTGTATAATTAAGAAGCAAACTAAGAATCAAATGGATATACTCTCACTGGTGCAGGTACTACTTACAAATATTATAACTAATAGTAGGATAATAAATGATAATTATTTGTTATAGCTATTATTAGTGTTCGAATGACGTTTGTAGACCATTGTGGAGTAAGACCCCAGATAACGTTGGTAAACATAACTCTGAACAGCAGGTGCCGCTTTATGACTGATAGTCGGCAAGTACCGTAAAGTCAAGAAAAGAGGGGAATCTGGGTTTTTGCATTTCTAATTAATGTTAAAGTACAACATGATGCACATGCTACGTTTTACATTTTCATGTGAAAACTCCATCCATCTTCTAATCGTTTATACTGGGAAAGGTCAAGGTTGGGGTGCCTTTCTGTCAGGATGGGGCGCAAGGATCCCCTGGAAGGGATGTCACTCTCTCACAGTGCACACACTCACACAATAATGATGCTAACTGGTGTCTCTACTGAGGGAGGAACCTGGACCACCGGTGGAAAAACATGCAAACATAATAAGTGGGGTGGGGATTAGCACCCTAAACAGTACCACCCACAGAACCATCGTGTAACTCGTCAATCAGAAACATTTCGTATATTATTTTGTAAAACACGCATGTAGCGCGGTGCAAAGAAATAATTCGTATGCCACTTCTTTATCATATTTGCGGTAGTACGCGGACATCTCGCGATAACTGCGACGCAAGCCGAGATATCGGAGCATAAGGAAAAAATGAGACCCGTACAGTATTGACAGTAACAGTAACAGCGCGTTTGTCTCCGTAGATCGCAGCACTGTGCAAAAGTAGCGATTGTCCAGGTAACGTTTTGCCGTCCGCCGGATATCGGGAGCATATGGCGGTTAGCAGAAGCCTCGAGTTTCGCGTCGCGCTTCGCTGCCTTTGTAATATGGGACCTGAGGCTGGAAATCAGCTGTGCTTAGGAGGCATCAGATGCCTCATAACAAGCGGTCACAACGCACGGCGGACCCCGGGCCTGCTGATTAATCGTTCATTTATTATACCCTGTCCAGGTGTCCTTTATTTCCGAGTGAAGGTTGTTTTTAGGTGAGGCACTAAGGGGCGGTAGCGGTCCTCCATTAATGTGACGGCGCTTTAATGGTCCCCCTCCACAAGCTGGGGCATGGGACAATGCAAAACAAAAATGGCAAATAAAACAGGGATGACGCAGTTTTAAAGGTATTAATTAGTCATATGTGTAGGGCTTCCAGTTTATAAAGTGTGTACCATTTAACCGTTTAGTTACTATAAAATATTTGGGGTTGTTCTGGACAGTTGACAGCCCTGCATGATTCCAAACTATGTGCTTGGCATATTTCAGATTAAAAAAAGTCAAATTACTTAAGTCTAAGCAACTTTTGTCTTTTATTTAACATATAATGTTTAACTCATAAGAGATGTAAGCGATCGCTGTATAATAAACAGTGGTTAATCAAATGATGACCCTGCAGTGATGTACGTGGTTTTCTGGTTGTTGGAGCAAAGTTTAATACTTTAAATGTAGTCAGAGAGCTGGAACAAAAAAGAAATGTAATTCATGGAAATTTATACTTTGTTAGAGCTAATAAAGTAAGATCTTTCTACCAGATGAATGATTTAATGCTTAGAATTATTCCTGGCACATCCTTTTTATAGTTGGAAACTAAGATTTTTTATATTATTATTCTTCACTTTTAGGACTTTAATTTCAGACTCAGACGTTTCTCGTGCCCAGGTATGCTGCTGAGTGCCCATGCAGGGTAGTTTCCAGCAGCGAAATCCCGCCTCCGTCGCCATGACCACGCCCCCTGTGGCCGGGGCTTGCATGACGGCCACGCCCTTCCCCGGGCAGCAGGCGCAGGCGGCACGGGAGGTCAACACGGCGTCGCTCTGCCGCATTGGACAGGAGACTGTGCAGGACATCGTCTTCAGGACCATGGAGATCTTCCAGCTGCTGAGGAACATGCAGGTAGGGTTGGTGCCCCTGCTTTTTACTCTGGATGGTCCTGGATCATGCCCTTAATCCTTCCGTCCTTGACAGCGTTCATGATGTCACTGCTGGCTCCGAACGGCAGCCTGACCTATCTGAACACGCATTGCCGCTTTCACAGCTGCCAAACGGCGTGACGTACCATCCCAACACACACCAGGACAGGCTGGCAAAGCTGCAGGAACACCTAAGGCAGCTCTCCGTCCTTTTCCGCAAGCTGCGGCTGGTGTACGACAAGTGCAACGAGAACTGTGCCGGCCTGGACCCCGTGCCTGTCGAGGTCAGGAGGGCGGGTTCGCATGGGACCGCTGCCATAAGCTTCTTATAATGGGCCTCAATGAGACGTTTTTTTTTTTTTTTTGGGGGTGGGGTGGGGGGCCCTCCTTCAGCGATTTACACTGAAAATATCACTGTGTATCGTTTGATTTATCGGAGTACATAATACAATGTAACGTTCTTCGGTACATCAGACACCTTCATTAGCAGAGCTTAGCAAACAGGATAGCGCATACTTCCTCTCTGACATCACGCTTCATTAGCCAATCAAAGGAAAGGGCCAGATAGCCAGCTGGAGGCCCTGGGTATCAAACGGTTGCTGGTGCAGACATAATTATTTTCAAACCCCCACCCTCCCCGGCTGCCAGATAGCCATTGCCCATCTAGCGCCTTCAAATTACCTGTTTGTTAGCCCCCGTGGGGTGACGAGGGACTTTCCCAGTTAATTACACATCAGTTACCATCACCCTGCCCCCACTCCACACTCCTCTAGCTAACGGTCACAGGTTGCATCTGGAGGGGGGGGGGGTGGGGAGGTGGAGCTAAAGATCACATGTCCCGAAGGATCGGCAGAGAAACTCGGAGTACTTAATGTGCTCGGTAAATATGGAAGCCATTGAGAATGAGATATGAGCAGGCAGCCTGTCCAAGCAGCATTATCTCATAGCTGCCTAATTAGCCTCAGTCTCACTAACGAACAGCTGGTAAAGTGCATGATGTCAGCATTTTCCAAAAAGGCAGTGACCGATTCCTCCGTGCTCCAGGCACCTCTCACGTCGGAAGAGGCCAAGTCATTTAACTTTTTTTTTTTTTTTTCCTCCTCTGGCCGGATTCTCCCATTTTCGTCAGAGGGGCACATTCATCCGTAGGCAGGCGAGGATACGCCGTGAGTCAGCGACACCTTTCTGCTCCAGCACATTTGCCCCTCCGGTTGCCAAGAGAAACGTTCACGTCTCACATTCGATATTTGCCTGGCTTCAGACTGAACACGCGTTTCCTTTCTCTGATTTTCCTGCTAGCTTTGCCATTAACGAGAATAAATTTAATGCGACCCGTAGTGTATATTCTGTGTCTAGCTGCTGGTTTAGGGGAGGGCGTGCAGCTTGGCGCGTGGACAGACAGATGAAGGGTTTTCTGGGTGCCCCCCCGTCCCAACATCCATCCTACTAGAGTGGATAAATGGGAGATCTCTGCCCTGTTACGGTCTGTATAGCATAGCTATTACCTCCAGGATTCCACATATGCTACATCTTAGTTGTGCTGTTTATGAATCACGGTTGACTCCCCCCGCAAACAAATACCAAGCAGTTTGTTTTGAAACCTTTGTTCTTTATTCCTGCTGTATAACAGTTTGCTTGAGCAACAGACATCAAAGAGTACCCCCCTCTCTGCTTCGCTTTGGATGGAATGAGCGACTAACGCTAACAATCGCGTTTCCCTTCCCGCCGCACCGTCCTCCTAGACGCGAAAGGCATTGTCGGCGTTGCACACCGTCTCCACCAGCAGGTGTCAGTGTGACTTAAAGCAAATAAAGGACGGGCCAGCAGAGTCTGATGGATTAAGCCAGGGATAATCTACACAGCACCGGAGTGCTGGTTCGGTGTCAGTCTGGCAAGCAAAAGGCAGGAAGGATTTTCTGAATTGTCAGACAGTCTGTATGTATTGCTCAAGTGCTTTTTTTGTGAATGGCGTTCTGGTCTTCAGGTAGTCCAAGCAGTGTTTTCTTGCAGCCTTCCTGGGGGGCCAGTATGCTGTGAGTTTAAGGTGTCTGGGTAACATGAAGGGGGGCAGATGTGTCATGGCACGCACGATCACTGCCAGGTGGCTTAGTGAAGCTACCGGCCTATTGGCTGTTCCAGGCCCCGCCTCTAAAGGGGCGTTTCTCTTCAAATTCTTTAGCCTTGGCTTCTGTCATCCATGGCCTGATGGAGAGGAACCTCAAGTTCTGTCCTTAGTTAGCAGAGGCAGGTTTTGAGATCAATGAAATTAAAATGCAGCTGAGATCCACCTTCAAGTATGATGTTAAAAAACATACCCGCTTTTCGTTTGTCTGTTACAGCAACTCATCCCATATGTCGAGGAGGACTCCAAACACGACGAGCACTCAGCCCAGCAGAGCCGCTACGCCAGCGACGAGAGGAGGGAAGTGCTTGAAGTCAATAAGGTAAACAGCGCGCTTGACCTTTGACCCCAGGTTGTTGACATGTGTGCAGAACATGTGCTGAAGGTATTTATTAAGAAGAATACAGCTCACAGTGATTCACTATAAACAGTCTGCTGTTTATTTACATGGAACTGGAGTCTAGAGCAGGGGGGGGCTTGGGGGGTTCGGTGGTATGAGGCACATTCAGGCCTGGGTGTCCCTTTGTCCCCTTTTTGGGCACAGGGGGATAGTGTCACTCAGCCTCACAGCTAATTATTTACACAGGCTCTTTCCGAGAGTGGGTTTCGCACAGTGGGGGGGGGGGGGGGGTATGACGGGAAGCTTTTTTGGCCACAAACAAAGGGGTTCTGTCGTTCCATCCTCCACACGACTCCCAGCGCCGGTACCCAGCTGTATGTTACAATTCAAACGAGGGGAGGGAAGGGAAAAAATGATCGATTGTGTGGGAAGGAGGCACCGAATCGGAATTTCTCACACAGATGTTCAGGAGCTGGGCCACATCTGCTCCAGTTGTGGTGTTGGACACGGTCGTGGTTTGTTCTGGAAAGTACCGGAACGCCAAGCTGTGGTATGAGATGCTGGGGTGTCAGCCATACTCTGTCTGGGCTGCAGCTGTGGGGCTGTACCGTAACGCTACAGCACATAAGTGTAATGCCCCCCCCCCTAGGCCCAGCCATCCATCGGAACCTGCCACCTCAAATGGGTTGGAGTAAACGAGGAGTAAGGGGTAGATCGTGTGAGTAAGGAGTGTTTTTTTTGGGGGGGAGGGGGGGCTAACCTGAAAATGGATTGGGGGGGGGGGAGTGCTGTGGGAAGCTCTTTGACAGTGAATGGTTAGCTTGAGAAACAAGAGACAATAAAAAAAAAAAAGGAAAGATACACGTTCTGATGTGCTGGCTGTCTCTCAGGCCAGCTATTAAATGGTGTTAAGTGAGAGAAAAATTCACTCCTCTCTCTCTCCCCCCTTTGTAAGAGGCGCTCCTGAGAGGCCTGGCATCTTCGGCGCCTCTGAGGGACTGTGAAGCTTTTAGGAGTTTCTTCAGAAAACTAAAATTATCCGGTTTCTATTATATTCTTTTGGAGGGAAAAAAAAAAAAAATCAGTATAGATCGACTAGTGGAATCCCACATGCACGAAAACAAATCTGCCATGGATGACCCCGCCAGACAGATGGCGTGGCCCCCACCCACCCTGCAGCACTGAGCTTATCGTGCGGAGCGAGCCTGGCTTTGGAAATCACCCCACTTCACCCCCCCCCACATCGAAAGCACTGAGCCTTTAACATTCCTAATCCGTGCAATATGACGTACAAACCAATCAGTTAATTGGCCCTCACTTCATATTGATTTTGTATTTATAGACTGTTTTTATGCAGAATTACAAACCGCTTCTTTCGATCATAATTTAATTAGGCTGAATTCAAAAAGGATTAATGCAGCCAATGCCAAAATACTGTTGGGGAATGCTAATCTATATTATACGGACAAGCAATACATAAAACATGGATAATTATTTAAAGAACACGACAGCGGGTTAAAAAAACGATACTGGAGGGTATTCAGCCAAGCTAATTGGCGATGCTTATGTAGTTCAGACTGTTCCGGATTTGCTTGCCTGTTCAGGGATGCCATTCCCGCACAACCCTGCAGTCAGTCAGCACTTTGAGCGAGCAGGGAGGACTCAGAACCACACGGAAGCTTGAGGATCCCTTTGTCAGGCCGCACGAGGCTCAGGATTAATGTGCCACGGCGTCGCATTTGCAGCACGGTGGTAATTGCACTTGTAATGCCACTCTTCAATAAACTAGGTCTCCTCGAATTTGCTCTCCCCCCCGATAAACCGTGAGACAGGAAAAGGAGGATTCGTTGTTAAGTCTGCCCGCTGCTGTCAGGGTTTGTGTCTGAGTTCCGTTGTGCTGCAGTCATCCTGTCTGCTGCGAGTCGATTGGTTAGGTGCCCCCCCCCCCTCTCCCGAACATGGGCCCACGGAGAAGACCGAACATGCAGGTGGCGCTCAGATCTCGTGGGGTTTCGGTGCCCGATTCGCAGAGTGGCCGCGCCGTCGCTTTAATATCTGGTCAAGGACGGGGAGGTTCCCGTCATAGACCATTAAGCCAAACTTTGGGAAGGGAAAGGTTGGGCTTCCTGGGTGTTATAAATTCTGCCCAAAGACATGGATGTTTATCGTTTTCAATTAGCCCACTGAGCCGGGCTCTGCGCATTATCTTTAGCGACGGTGTTGTAGCGGCCGTATCTGAAGCCGACAGCAGCGCACCGGCGCTGTGCTGACCGGCAGGGCTGGGGGGCAGCCAGTCTGAGGCCACCTGTAAGACGTCCGTATTCATGCCGTCCTCACGACGAGCCCAGCGCACTCGGGAGCCAAGGACGCCCCGGGGAGGGGAGGGGAGAACAAGATGGGCGGGCCATGGGGTTGTGAGGGGAGCCCAGGGGCTTCCGGAGATTCGGGGCGACCGTGCCTGCGGGGACTGGATCTCCGTGGGAGGAGGAGTGAGGCTGAAAGAGGCCAGGTGCCAAGGAGCCGCTTTTCCTCGGCGTAGGAGACGCAGTACCCAGTGCTCCCCTGGGAGGAGAAGCGGAACGCAGCCCCCGCCGCCGGACCCGCTCTGCCTAGTTCTGCGTCTCCCTGTGAAAAATCAAAGCCGGACGTGATGTTCCAAGGTCCTCAGACGGGGGAGGGGCTTCCCAGTCTGGCACGGAGAGCCGCGGAGGAGTGTGATTCTCAGCTCGACCCCAGAAGCGACCCCCCCCCCCCGCTCCTGCCCCCCGTTGATTAAATGCGGCAAATCAATTCCCCAGCTCTCAGCCTCTAGTGCCGAGCCTTTCATACTTACGAAAACATTTCAAATCAAATCCTAAATGCTTCTTTGAAGATTTTTTTAAGCTTTTCAACTTAGGGATTTTAAATGCATTAATTTTATTAAAATAGCATCTGTCCTAACAGGAGGTAGCTGAACGAGTTGATCTTCAAAAGTATAAAGCTGGTTTTAGTGGACCGATGTAAACATTGGTGAAACTTGTAAGTATACATATTTTGTATAGTTATATTGCAAGGTGGAAAAGGATACATTGGTATAGGTGTAAATTCGCATAATAAAGCGCTAAATTGACCGAGACACATCTGGATGTAAGTTGCCGGAACACATATCGGATGTATCAGCAGTGTCAGGTTTGTGTGACCAGTTGTAGGACCTTCTCAGTGATGCAGAGATACTCGCAACAGTACGTCTCCATTCACACTTCATTCTACTCTCTTCAGGAATTAATGCTGCCCAGTTTGAAGGCTAAACATAAAGATGAATGACCCTGACTCACTTTCAAATTCTTAACGACTGTTCAAATTGCGACCAGCTGGTGGCGGTACCGAGATCAGCGGATTCAGCGCACAGACCCGGCCAGTGGAAGCGTCTGCACTACCGAGGTCTGCCGGTCCATACATGCCGTAACAATAGGCGTGACGGCGCTTGACGAGGATTCAGACTGTGCGAAAATGACGCCACTTGCTGCCCCCTCTCAAATCCCTGTGCCGTTCTGCATGTGTCCAATTAACCGCTGAGGAGTTGTACTCTGAAGGGCACTGTACAGTGCCTCACTAGATATATATTTCACGTGCTAATTAGCACTAAATGTGTTTCTTGTAAGGCAATCAATTTACTGAATGGGTCATTCACTGAGGCTGTTTGCATATTGTATATGTGTGTGTGTGTGTGTGTGTATAAACACACACGCATATAGATATAGATAGATGTAGATATGCACATAGACATAAATATAGATATGACCTGTTTCCTCCCCCCCATCCAGAAAAACTGGTGCCTCCCATGCAGTGTGTGTGTGTGTGTGTATGTGTGTGTGTGTCCTGTCATGCACTGGCATCCCATTCAGGGTGAACCCCAGCCTCATGCCCTGCGCTGCCTGGGACTGGTCCCTTATTCTCTCGTGACCCTGACCAGGATACAGATTAGCAGATGGACGGATACATGTGTCACTGAACCTGCAGAGGATACAAAGCTATTAATAGGTTCCATTTTCCTCCAGCTACTCAGACGCCGCGGTACGGCACCAGATCCCCGTCCTGGGAATGGCTTAGATGTTTCCCTTTGACCACCGGCAGCCTCGGAAATGTGTTGTTTGCCGAGGCTCAGAGACACTGCAGTAAAATGTGAGAGACCACCAGCTGAGCCGCGTGACTCAGAGTTTTAGCAGGAAAGACAGATAATTGGGGTTTTTCCTATTCAGCAGTAATGGGTCCAGGCAGGGAAGGAGTCAACACAACACAGGCTAGTGGCTTTAGAAAGACAAATAAAACGCAAACCAGACTGCTCTTTAGCTCTCAGGGCTGGCATCAGGAGACTATTGTAGGCAAAACAAACCAGCACATTGCAATTTATGCCTCCTGCAGGCAACTATGACAGTAACCAGTAACATAGACTTGCAACTCAAAGCCTCACGCTCCATCCCCCATAAACTGATGAAACTTACAAGTCCTTTATGCGCTGTCATAATGGCAAAATATCGGATTAATAATGAAGTTTACCATGTTTCTTTAGCTCAGGGCGATGGCCGATCCGTCGTGTTTTGGCAGAAACCGCAGACTCGTCTAGAGGGACGCGCAGAAGGCGAGGCTCCGTATCTCTCGAAGCGGGCCGTACATTTCTGCTGTACGTTTACTTTTTGGAAGAGTGGACAGGACGGCCTTGACGAGAAACTCAAAAAGTGCAAACGCACATTTTAGGGAATTAGGCAGAGGGGACCTCGTTTGCCCACCTCGTCACCTGAGCTTTTTCCAGAAGGGATGGACTTGGCACACAGAACGCGCACTCATGGCCAGATCACTGATCCATCTCACACGCGGTCTGTACTCTCAATCACCTCCTGGGGGAGGCTGTGAATTTCAAAGATGCATTTAATTCTTTCTGCCAAAAAAAACCCAGTGTCCTTGTATGTGTCCTTGATTCCTTAAGAAGGTGCAAATTAAAAGCG